CTGGGAAGCATCAGGATTCTTATAATAATTGATAAGAGAAGTTTATGGGCCAAAGGTGGGATGACATATTTTTTCTTGATATCCTATCTTCACTTTTGTTTTTAAAAGCCTGTCACATTTCTTGCTTCTACAACATAAATGCAAGAACTGGTTGGGCTTTAGTTAGATCCCAGTCTATTCTTTCCTCTTGTTGATAGTCTTTGCTTTCTGTGTTCTCTGCTTCCTGGTTTCAGCTAGCATTACATTGAATTTTAAGGAAAAAAAAAAAAAAGTAGATATGAGGAAGAGTCTTCTTTTGAGAATTTCCTAGGCAAATCCATAAAAATTTTGTAAGCTTCCCTATACTTTTGTAATTACAGTCCTGTGAGACAACAGAAAATATACATACTGGTCTCTGTCCCCAGTTTCTGGCACAGAGCTCCAAAAACTCTTGTAATTTCCTAAGTAATAAGAGTACTCAGGAGCATTTTTTGTTCTAATGTTTGGTCTTTGACCCTGGTTCCTGACACAGTGTTCCTAAATCCCTTGGAATTTCCAAGGTGATGGCACTGTCTTCTGTTTGAATGAGGTGACTCCTGGTGGGCTCCAGGATAGAGAGTGGTTACCACAGAGTCCAAGCCATGATTAGAAGTGTGGAATTTTCAGCCCCAGCTGTCCATTCCCCAAAAAAGGGCAAGGGGCTGGACATGGCGTTAATGATCAATTATGCCTACATCGTGAGGCGTCCATGAAAATCTCCAAAGTAGAGGCTTCAGAGAGCTTCAGGGTTGATGATCACATGTAGGTGCGGAGAGAGTGGCATGCCCAGAGAGGCACGGAAGCTCCATGCCCCTTTCCACATACTTTGCCCTGCTCATCTCTTTCCTCTGGAATTTCACTTATATTATTTATCATATCCTTTCAAAATAAACTGATAACAGTAAGTAGACTCTTTTCTTGAGTCCTGGGAACCACTCTAGAAAGTTCATCAAACTTAAGAAGGAAGCTGAAGGAATGTCTGATTTGGAGTCCATCAGTCAAAAGCACAGGTTACAACCTAGACTTGTGACTGGCCTCTGAAGTGAGGGGGCAGTCGTGTGAGATTCAGTTCTTAACCTGAGTAATCTTATGCTAGCTATCTCTGGGTAGACAGGGTCAGAACTGAGATCAACCATAGGACACCCAGCTGGTGTCACAGAATTGGTTGGTAGGAAAAATACCACACATCTGGTGACAATAGCATGAGTAAGGGAAAGAAGGAAGAGAGCTGAGCTTTCCTTTATAATTCCTGAAGCCCTACTAGGTACATACAGCATGAGTCTGGATTTCAGGCCTTACTTACTTCAAAAATTTTAATTGCCTATACAACTTCTCAAAAGTGGATACTATCAACCTACTGAAGTTATAGTTAAATTCTCAAACTTGCTACAATGTCAACAGAACTACTTGTTTGAAGCACACTTTTTCTGTAAAGTTGTATTATTGAAGCTCTTCGTTATGAACAGCAAAATTGTTTTGAATTTTAGAACTATCTGGAACAGGGGCGCCTGGGTGGCTCAGTCAGTTAAGTGACCGTCTTTGGCTCATGTCATGATCCCAGGGTCCTGGGATTGAGGCCCACGTGGGGAATCCTCTCACAACAGGGTGTCTGCTTCTCCCTCTGCTCCTCCCCTGTTCATGCCCTCTCATCGCTCTCAAATAAATAAATAAAATCTAAAAAAAAAAAAAGAAGCGTATCATAGAACTATCTGGGATAAAAACCTGTCACCAGTCAAGGAAAGGGTTAGACTTAAAACTTGTCCAACAAGATAGATATTTTTTAAAGGAGGATGGAAGTCAGATTTTTTTTGTATGAACCAATTAATAATAAGGGACAAGTTCAGAACTCCCGCTTGAACTGGAGTTGTATTGGAATTTCTACTGGAACCTGTTGCTTCAGGTCTTTGGTCACTGGTTCAGAGCAAATCTAGTAAAGAGGACTCAGTTTAATTTTAAGTCAAATCTCCACAAGGCATTTGCCATAGTATCACCCTGAGCACTCTTGAAAGCCTTCTTGCATTTATCACATTGTATTCACATGTGATAATCATAACTTTTTAGAAGTTGTATGGTTACAATGATAAAAAATATTTGTTTAAAAATATCCTGAGACTAACTTCTTGCAGTTATGTGGCCTAAGGTGACATCAAATTAAATGATGACTTGGCAGGTAAACGGTGTCTGTGCTGGGATAATGGGAAAGACAGTAATTTTGTTCAGTCCTGATTTCCAGACCTCTGGGAAGAGTGGTCAGGAAGTACCAGCAAAGAAGAAATTGTGGCTGTGAGAGCACGTCCCCTGTACACACCAGACTTTTCATCCTTTCATCCTCTCTGCTCTGTTTTTCATTCCCTCTCATATCGTGGGGTGCACAGGGAAAGAAATTATGTCTCTAGAACATACTATTGAATCAGCCTATAAAAAAATTAATGCAATTAGTATGTTGATTTCCTGATTTTAGCTTAATGCTAGCCTTTTAAAACTTCTAAAGATGAGGGGCGCCTGGCTGGCTCAGTGGGTTAAAGCCTCTGCCTTCAGCTCAGGTCATAATCCCAGGGTCTGGGGATCGAGCCCCACATCGGGCTCTCTGCTCAGCAGAGAGCCCGCTTCCTCCTCTCTCTGCCTGCCTCTCTGCCCACTTGTGATCTCTGCCTGTTACCAAATAAATAAAATCTTAAAAAAAAAAAAATTCTAAAGATGAAGATTAAAACAAACCTTCTAAGTAAACACCAACATAAAGACTGTCAGTGAATTGAGTGGTAATCTGAGGCAATGGCAGAAATCTCCAGATAGGTCATTTTAGAAACTGATTCTCTCCATCACTGGATGGGATAAACAGAATTTCCTCAGGTGCCCTTCAGTCTTTTTTCCAAAGAGGCTCCAAATTCCTTGTCCTAGTTTTTGGCCTCTTGCCAGGGGTGCTTCTCCCTGGTCCACTCTCCCCACCCAATCCAGAATCACATTGTCTTGATTTCATTGCTGTGCCTCACTATACCTCGCCCCAGGGCTGGTTTCTTATTCAGGATTTTAAAATTCAAGCAAAACCCCTTCTTTCTGTTCAAAAGTATCTTCTTTTCCTCCTCCTGCCTCCCCTAGATCCCACATGCGGTTACAGGGAATCCCAGGAGGCCCGTGACCTTGGCCTGGGATGAGCCTTACAGCAACTAGTTCTACCCCCTAGAGCAGCTTCCTGACACAGGTGAAACACCGGTTGCCTAACTTATAAAATTTTGGATGATAATACTTATTTTCTTTGACTGAAGGAATAATAGAGATAACTTACATACATAGTGTCTAGCATATTATAGAGTTTTGACAAAAGGTATCGTTATAAAGTGTAGGTCTTTTGCTATATGTAGTTTTCTAAGCTTTTCTGACTGTGAAATTTTGTTTCTTAGAGTGACAGTTTTATATTTTTCCTCATGAAGTTTTTGTTAAATCTCTGGATTCCTGGAAAGTAAGATGGGCAAGAACCTCCAAGACTAGTTACAATTCACCATCTCTTACCTAGACGATTTCATTCTAAAAATCTTGAGAAGATAAATTCACCATATTCCTGTGAATTTCGTAGGTTTTCTTTTTTGTATTAGTAGTGTGCAAACTGTTAGCTTCCAGATCACACTGAGGAAATATAGCTGAGACTCAACATCTAGAACTTTTGTAGCCCGAGTTTTAGTTGAAATTTTATTCTTAAATTAATTATGTCTATTGTAGTTTTAAAGCAAAGCACCGATAATATAATTTTTTGAGAAGTAAATGAAATTAGCTTTTCCAATACTTAAAAAAATTCCAAAGTTAAACTGGAATTCAGTCCCAGATGAACAAAATCTAGTATTGGCCACATTGTTATGATTAAGCAATATTGTTCTGTATGGCCATTTATATAAAGCATAAAAATGAAATACTTGATACAGTTCTTATAAAAGTTTTAAAAAAGTATGATTATTAGGTTTGATGAATAAAGCTATTCACATATCCTTATTTATTATAAGGTATATAATTGTCTTTGAACCTATTAATGATTATTTCTCAATTCATATTTCACAGTGAACAGCTTCTAGGGGGTGAATTGTTAGCTGTTTCTGGGCCAGAGGAAAGAGGATTTACACCAGATTCAGTGTTAAGTCATACAGTTCTGAATTACATTCTCTAGAGATACGCCCCCCCCCCCAAATATTTCAACTTCAGGCCAATTAAAAAGTTGTGTTTGTTTGTTTTTTTAAGATTTTATTTATTTATTTGACAGACAGAGATCACAAGTAGGCAGAGAGGCAGGCAGAAGGAGGAGGGAAGCAGGCTCCCTGCTGACCAGATGCGGGGCTTGATCCCAGGATCCTGGGATCATGACCTGAGCCGAAGGCAGAGGCTTAAACCCACTGAGCCACCCTGGTGCCCCTATAAGTTTTTCTTGCTTTGATTGTTAGAGGACTTGTTTTATTGTTTTAGCTATTCTAAATTTAGACAGAATATCTCCTCTGACCATTTGTGGTAGTTTTCTTTCCTTTCTTTTCCCCTTTATTATTAATAGAGTTGTTCGTGTTTACTATTTTTATGTTTCTTGTGACACCTTCCCAAGGAACATACATTTGTCTGTTTTTCCCTTGGATTTCTCAGGACGGGCGTGAGTGAGGACAGCTGCATCAGGCCGTTCCAGCTTCCAGGGAAGCACTCTATTTAGATTCACGGAGGGGCATGAGGAACATTAACAGAAATTCAGATAGTGAGCAATTGTACATTTTGCCTATACATGCATTTCCCACTTCCCGCTGAATTCACACAATTTCTGCTTCTTTGTGATTTATTCATTCATTCTGTTTGCTTTATTACTGTAAAATAGAAAAGTGAGATTTGAGGTTCTGAATTGGCTTATGATGCTGTAAGTGAAAAAAGCTAATTTAGTCACGGCTCATCATTCTTCTAGATGTTTGTAAAAAAGAAATTGAGCTATATTCCAAGTTACATATGGGTTTTTGCATGCTTACCTTGTCTGACAGCTAGTGTGGTGGTATAGACCAAGAAGAGAAGGATGTAATTGAGGAAGCTCTGGAAGACTGGTGTATTGGCATGGAAATCTTCTGACAGGTACTTGCTGGTCAAGCCAATTCCACAAATAAGAAGGGATAACACCTGGCCCAGAGCCACAGAGATTAACATCTCCCTGAAAAGTAAAAAGAAACAGCAAACATCAGCAGGAAGTCCATTAAAACAGTAACAGTTAAAATTTACTAAGCACTTGTGCCATTCACTAGGCTAAGTGTAAATAGTATTTCTTATTGCCCATCACAATGATCCTACAAAAGAGGTACAATTTTTAGTGAGGTTTTACAGAGGGGGAAAAAAAAACCAACCAAGTTTAGAGGGGTTGAGGAATTTGCTCACTGTCACATAACTAGGAAATGGCAAAGCTGGGATTTGAGACCAAATCTCTCTAAGTGATCCTGGCTTCTAGCCAAGGCGTTCTGGAGCCTGTGGGGGGAAATTAACATCATCCCTGATGCCCACCATTGCATTCTCTAAATGTTCAGAAACCCGAGAGAACATTTGCACCCTGACAAAGAGGCATCTCATTGTAACCTTATCTTCAGGTTCTCATACCAATAAAGAGAGACTCTTGTTTATAGACTGAAATTTTGGATCCAGGAACCCCTGAAAATCCAAAGGACCATCTCCTTCCCATTCCCAGATTTTGGATCTTCTTTTGCTCTAGCAAGCACTAATAAGCACTAGTCTCTTTTTTCCTTTGCACAAGTTACAATTGATTGCATATTAAAACTGTTATTCATGAAGGAAATTTAGTTACCGAGGTGGTATAATAAAATATTTCACATTGTGTAAATATTTTCTGTGGCTTTTTCATAGGCACTGTAGACCACTGTAGTAGGGACTAAAAGCAAGAGTCAAGGGGTTCACTTTGCATAGAAATAAAGTGCCCATATGGGTTTTATCATCATGTAAACCTGCACAATCTGACTCAGGAAGAGCTCCTAGAAATACAAAGCAGGCTTCTGCCTTCCCCAAAAGTCCCATCCAACTTTCCTGGTTTGTTTATAGAAACAGTAATGTAAAATAAGCAAGGAGTAGTATTTCTAAATAAAAAAGCACTGGTCAGAAAATTTGCAATGTTACATATTTCCTCCCCCACAGCAGATGTGAATCCATCTTTCTGAAAGGGGCAAAGAGTTCTGGGTAGGTACCTCAGTGGTGTCTTGCCAAAGAAAGAAAGAAAGAAAGAATGGAAGGGAAGAAGGAAGGAAAGAAGGAAGGAAGGAAGGAAGAAGGAAAAAATTTTAAAGACACTCATCACATTTTCGTCATTCCATTCGTTTCCATGAGGAGGAAAATATTGGCAAGGCATGAGAGCCCATAGAAGGTTTTATTTCCTGAGGTTAACCTGGAACATGCTGGTAGAGGCTTCCCACTGGTTGTCCTGTTCCCAAGCACCGGCCCTGACCTCCCCACCCTCCGCAATTCAATCTTTTTTAAGGAATCAAAGACATATTTTTAAACAGATATGTCTAAAATGTCAGTCTGTTGCTTAAAATCCTATAATGGTACCTTTCAAAGTGTTGTGATCTATAAGGCCTATGAAACATCCCCTCAAAGATGGCTGCCAACATTTCCTCCTATCCCTCCGCATTCATGCTGGTCCTCTCAAAGGGAGGTAGGATCTATTTCTTCTTTTCTAACGCACTTATCTTGTGACTTACTTTGACCAAGAGAATGTAGGGGAAAGGATGTCCTGTGACTTCTGGGCTAATCCATAAGAAGCTCTGCTGCTTCCAGTTTTTGCTCTCTTCAGATACAGCTTCCATGTAAAGAACCTGGGCTACTAGAGCTTGAGAGACCAGGTGAAAAGAAAAAGAGAGAGCCAGCCAATGCCATCCCAGCTGAAGCACCAGCCCTCTGAGGGAGGATCCTGGATCCTCCTACCCCAGTGCAGCAGTACCAGCCTGTGCCACATGGAGCGGAGATGAGCCATCGCCAGAGATGGCTGCCCAATTGGTGAATTGCGAGAAATAATCAATGGCTGTTGTTTTAGGGCATGAAATTCATAGTGGTTAGTTATGGAGCAATAGGTAACTGCAATCAAGGCCCCAAATGCCCCCCTCCACTCTTACTACCTCTGGGGCTTTACCTCCTGCTTTCCCCATGAAGCCAGAGCTCCAGTCCTACAGAGCTACCTACATATCAATAATGAGTTGTGGTCTTCTTCACTGGCATTATTGTGTTACCATTGTTTCCAGAATGTTCATCTTGCCTTTATCAGTCTGACTCCTGTTCATCTTTTAGGTTTGGCTTATATGTTACCCCCTTTAAGAAGTACTACCTGTCCTCCCTTCCCTGGAATGTTTCTCCTTTACTTCTACATCACTGTATTATAATTACTGATTTTATCCCTTTTTTCCCTCTGCCAGACTGTGAAGTCTGTATGATGTTCTTCACCATATCTGTAGCTGGGCAATACCATTCAGAAGAAGTAGAAAATGAAGGGATTCAAAGACAGTGCAGAGAAAGGCCTTAGGCAACCCTGAACAGTTTTACTGAAGGGTGATAAAAAAGAAAGGCAAAGGTAAAGAGAAGTACCAGAAATATTCCAGAATGATTTCAACGGTTTTTAAGCCAGCCTAACACAAGTATGATATCCACTAACAAAAATCATGATAAGGAGTTAGTTTTAGTGCAAAGATAACAAATATTTTTGGTATATTGAATTTGAGCCACCAGATGAATGTCCAGATGATCCAGCAATATTAGAAACAAGAGATAACAGTTGGATAGGGAGGTCAGCCAGGAGATAAATATGCAGAAGTTACATACCTGAGAATGATGTCTAAAGTATTAGAAATGGATGATATCACCAAGGAAGGGAGAATGAAAGAGAGAGTAAGAGGGGCTAGGAAAAATCCTTGAGGAATCTGCAGATTGGGGTTAGGGGAGAAAGAAGAGGCACATAACTGGAGTCAGAAGTGGTTAGAAGGCCAAGGGATAGTTCTTGCTATCAGAGAAACCAAGGAAGCAGAGACTTTCATGGAGGAGGTAGTTGTAATATTGAAAGTTGCTTAGAGTGTAGAGAGAATGAGGACTGATGGAAGTTAATTTGTAGTCATTCCTAGCCTTTGAAGGACCAGTTTTGGCAGAGTGGCGAGTACCAGGGCAATACTGGTATCATGGAAACCAAGGGAACAGAGAATTTACAGAGGAATAGTTAGCTGTGACCAAGTAGACAGGAAGTGGTAAGATAGAAAAGTGTTGACTTTGAAGAATTTTGAAGAATTCAAAGAATTCTTTGAAGGAGTTTGAGCTAGTCACCACAAAACACAATAATTATGATAATAGTTAAAATAATAATGTATAAAATGATTTAAAAATTTAATTTAGCATGGATTCATGATTATCTTCTCACTGGGTCACTCTTGATTACTTGCATAATAACTTACATCCTTAAGTGGAAGAGAAATGAGGAGAGTTACAACTAATTGGCTGCTCCCAGTGCTGAGTACATCCACTGGAGAATACTGGGTATGGAGTATGTCTCCTTGGGAAAAGAAGGTTAAAAACTGCCATGATGGGGTAATTCCTACAGCTGCTTGAATTACAACCCTGGCATTCAAAACCTTGGCAATATCCTGTGCCTTTCCTGAACAAAATCAAGCCACCAAAAATGACTGGTTACTTATGTAATAGAATAAAATTTTAGTCCTTCTGACATATATGTACCACTATACTATAAAACAGCCATCTACATGTCAGGCACTATATATGCAAAGATGAGTAAGACACAGTCCTTGTCATTGAGGAGATACTAACCAAGATTTTAGGGCTGAGTTCCCAAATAACTTATTACACAGTGAGGCCAGTTAAGGAGAAATAACAATAATAATTCATATTTAGTAAATTCTCACCCAAGTCCTGGGTGAGAGCCAAGTCCTGGGCTTAGCTTTATGTATACTTTCTTCTTTAATCCTCATAATAACTGAATGAGGCAGGTAGTACTTTTGTATTTATTTCTCATAGAAATGTGCTGACAATGGGCACATTCTGAAAGCTTATGGTACAATGAATCCACTTAATCCAGATAATAATTTACTCCTTAAGAGTTTTTAAAATACAGTATTGATTATGTCAGCATTTGAATTAATGACCTTTTAAAATCAAAGGGACTAAAGCGGTAGTCTCTTAATATAGAATGATAACTGGAAGACCAAAATATTTAGAAACCTGTTTTATAAATATTTTATATTTATCTATCTACTGCATATATCATTCTACATTCAGAGTATACATTTTTACTAATTTGTACTATATAAATGCATAAATAAATATGTAGATTTTTAAAAAGATTTTATTTATTTATTTGACAGAGATCACAAGTAGGCAGAGAGGCAGGCAGAGAGAGAGGAAGGGAAACAGGCTCCCGGCTGAGCAGAGAGCCTGATTCAGGACTCGATCCCAGGACCCTGAGATCATGACCTGAGCTGAAGGCAGAGGTTTTAACCCACTGAGCCACCCAGGCACCCCTAGATATTTAGATGTTTTATGGATACACACATATATACTATAAATCAAATTAATAAAATTATCTCAAAAAGCATTTTTTATGATCTAATAAATGTCAGTTATTATACTAGACACAGAATAATACGATGAATAAACATCTTAAGGAACTCAGTTTCAAGTAGGAATGGGGCTGGCTACATAACTGCATATCCTAGTGAAAATGCGGGGTCCTTTGTTCAAAAAGCAGGGACAAATGTAATTATAGGTACACACAAAGGTCTCTCCTTCTCAACTTGTCTTTTTTTTTCTTGTCACTTTTTCACCACTTTCACCCATTTCTCCCAACCCCCAATCCTCATAGCTCTGACAATGACCAATCTGTTCTATTTACCTATGTGCTTTTTTTAATAAGAAAAAAAATTCCACATATAAGAGAGATTATGCAGTATTTGTCTAACTTATTTCACTTAGCATAATGCCCTTAAGATCCATCTCTGTGTCACAAACCACCATATACACACCACAATTTCTGTATCCATTCACCAATTGATGGACTATGGTTGTTTCCGTATCCTGGCCATTGCAAATAACACTGCAAAGAACATGAACAAATCCAAAAAACATGAACAATCTTTTCTAGTAAGTGCTTTTATTTTCTTC